CGCCTGGAGGTAGCCTTGACCTCCATTCGCTCCTAGAGTCGCCTGTTTGCGGGTCTCCCAACCCGTCATGAGGCATGTTAACGATGACCCTTCAACATTTGTAGGGGGTTCTCACAGCGTGGGAGATCCCTGTGGGGCAGGAATGGGGACTGAAGGAGTTCTCAGCCGGGCTGGTGGGAAGACGATCAGTTTGTGACTTCCGTTAACCCAGCCGCGGTGTGAGTGCCACTTGTGCCATGCAAGAAAGGAAATTGAAGTAGTTCATTCTTCCACCTCCTCCCAAGTACAAAAAAAATGCATGTTATGTTTGATCTGTGCTTTAAAGCTTTCGCAGTTTTGTAAGCCTATATCAGGTGCTCTAAATCTTCGAACTGTTAATTGATTAAAATGTAGAGAGCTTATCATAGAAATCAATACGTGGCTGTTAACGCATGGTAATCATTTTGCATATATACATACATCAAATCATTTTTGTATACCTAAAACTAATACAGTGTTATATGCCAATTAATCTCAATTAAAAAAAAGAACAGTACAGTTAGTATATGTAAAAACAAACAAAAATGAGGCACAGGACAATGCAAATGATATGGTAACATTTGTGTAAAAATGTGCGTGTGTGTGTGTGTGTGTCTCGGAACCATGAAAAGGTCTGCGGGAAACCTATAACAGTGATAGTCCCTAGGAAGAGGGATTAGGGGTAGGAATGGGAGGGAGGTTTCACTGTCAGCTCTAACAGAACATTTTAAAATTTTGCAATGATGGAAATGTTCTATATATCTGCACTGTCCAGTTTCACAGTTAATAGCCACATGTGGCTTTTGTGTGCCTGAAATATAGTGAGTGCAACTGAGGAACTAAATTTTTAATTTTATTAATTTTAGTTAATTTACATAGTCACTTATGGCTAGTGACTGCCATATTGGGCAATGCAGGTATATTGTTTGATTCTTTTTTTTTTTACCTTATGCATATATTATCTTTAGAAGACATAGAGTATATTGTTTTCCTAACACATATAATGAGTAGTCCCTTCACGAAATGTTTTGCCTCAGTATAGTTGCTAATAGAAAGTAAATAACAATAGCTAACATTTAGATCTTGCTTACTATGGACCAGGCACTGTTCTAAATACTTTTCACATATTAACTCCCTTGATCCTCAAAGCAACTTTATGAGGTAAACAATATTATTAATCCCGATTTTAAAGAGGAGGTACGCCAGTAGCCAATGTCACCCAGCCAAGAAGTGGTGAGTGGGGATGTTGTACTGAGAGGCAGCTCAGCCAGTTGGCTCATTCTGTGCTCTTTAATCACAACGGTGCCTCCCATAAAGGCAATTGGCTAAATCACATAAATCCCTAAAAGTTTCCAGTGAAGGTGCAACCAAAATGATGAGAAAAATCTAATTAAAAAGACAAGCTACAACCAAAATCTTTAATCATTATTTTAAATAAACCATAAGTTCTGTATATTAATAAACTGTGAATAAAAGTTAATAAAAGGAAAAACAATTTCTTCATGGGCAATTAACTATATGCCCAATTCTGCTGCTTTTGCTTTTCAATGTCCTTTATCTTTTACCTCTTTCTGCACTTACTCTCACTGTTCAACTTAAAGCCAACTCAGTCCATTTTTCCTACTTTCCGTCCCAAATTCTTTTTTATATACTCCTATTATCAGCCACCTGGGTTGTCTCTAAGTCTTCCAGATTTTTCAAAGCGTCCTCAGTAATAGGTTAGCATTGTCCCACTGACCACTGATGTAGAAAGTGTAGTGCCTGCCCCAGGATTTCTGCAGATTAATCAGAGATTTAATATTCTCCTGGGATAGCTCCACCAAGGGACCCTACTCCTTTTTACTGATCTTTGAGGACTCACTGGATATGCTGCTTATGCTTATGCTTTTTGGGTTATACACAAAAAGCCACACTTCAATTCACTGCTCTTCCCTTGAGTATTTAATGGAGACCCCTCATGAAACACCCGTTTCTAGCCTTGATTTCCATGTTCAAAGTCAACCATTCCCTTTTTCTAGCATACCCATTGTTATGGACTAAATGTTTGTGTTCCCCCCAAAATTCATATGTTCAAATTCTAACTCTCAATGTGATGGTAGTTAGGAGATGAGTTCTTTGGAGGGTGATTAGGTGAGGTCATGAGAGTAGAGCCCCTGTGATGGAATTAGTGTCTTTATAAGAAGAAGAAAGATCAGAGCTGCTTCTCCTTCTACCATGTGAGCACACGGAAAAGGTAGCAGTCTGCAAAACAGGAAGGAGCTCCCAGCAAAAACCAAATGTGCTGGCATCTTGATCTTGGACTTCCCAGCGTCCAAAATTGTGACATATAAACATCTGTTGTTTAAACTACCCAGTCTATGGTAATTTGTTATAGCAGCCTGAGATGTCTAAAAACACCTAAGTACTTCAGGATCAGGAGGAGAGGTCATAACCTCCTTGCTCCCCAAATTATTACCCTCTCCCTCTCCCTCTTCAGGTCTGGCAGGAGTGATCAAAAAGGCTGTCTTGTGATTGATCTCCTGGTCACTTTCTCCTATTCACTGAAGAGTTGAGCATCTAACTTAAAATCTTTTCCTTCATCTCAATTCCTGTCATTATTCTGATCTTGCAATTGGTTGACTGTCTCATGCCCAATGACTTTCCTCTACCCCACCTTAGTCATCCAATCCTATGGTTATACTCTAGATCTTGTCTTCACCATGAATTAGTACATCCATAATCATAGTCCTAATGCCCTACTCTCACACCACAATCTCCCGTCCTTCGGTTCACTTGTGAAAATGCCCCTCATAGCAATAATTCTTTGAACTCATTAAAATGACTAATCTACTGAACCATGTCCTGTTCATCAGTCCCCTCTCATTTCATTTCCCATCCATAATACAGGAGCTCCAGGCCCAGAACTTGCACCCAGGCTTTGGATATTCCGAAAAAATCATCAGGAGGACCAGAAGGGTGAGCCATGCTGTTTATTACTCACGAAGCAGGGGAACTCGGATGGCAGCTAGTCAGAGCTGCAAAAGCTGCTGCTGGCCAAGAGCAAGCAATGTTTTACATGCACAGGCAGAGGGAGGGGTTATCTCATTGGGGAAGCAGCCGCCTTCTCAGGCTGATGGGAGCAAGATGTGCTGCTTGGTTACAGGAGCAGATAACGTCCTTGGGAGCCAGCACTGCCAAGAGCCTTTTGTTTACTGCCTTCCTTATGGCTGCTGACCAGGCAGCCATCTGTTTTCTGAGTACATAGAGAGGCTATGTTCTGAATTAACTCCGCACCATCTTATCCAGCGAAGACTCCATGTTTAGCATTACAGTCACTCCCTTGAAAATAGCCTCGATTGCAGTTCCACTCTGCCTCCTTTGCACTTGCAAAACCCCAACAGTGAATTATACCTAAACTGCACCAAGCAGTTAGTCTACTATGGAGAGATCTTCAGCTTTTTTCATGAGAAGCTGAAAATCTAGACTTTTTATATGAAATCACCTTGTTTTGAAATTAAAATGAACTTGGCAAAACACTGTGCTGAGCATAGAATATGTCTCAAGGCAGAGACTAGAGACTTTCAGTTTATTACCTCTGCTTTAATGGCTTTCCATTATGCTTCAAGTAACGTCGACTCAGGCTCATGTACAAGGTGCTGCATAATCGAGGCCCTGGTTATCTCTCCAAGCTTTTCTTTCCTACTTCCTACTTCATTCATTATGCCTCCAGCATACTGAGCACACTGACCTCTTTGCTCTTCACACATGCCAAGTGCATCCCTGCCTTAGAGGCTTTGCACTTAATATTTCCTCTGCCTAGAATGCCCTGATCCCTCTTCCCTTTTACTCTCCCCGCCAGTCCACCACTATAAAGCTGAAAGATCTGTTTAAGTATCATATCCACAGAGGTCTTTTCTAAACACTGTATCTCAAATAGGTCCTCACCATACACAACATAAAATTTAACTTGTAATTTTATGGATTGACAGATAGGCTTTCTTTTTATTCCCTTCCTTCTCCACTAGCTTGTAGGTCAGGGACTGTGTCTCTCTGCTATGTCTGTGTCTAAGACTGAATAGCCAGTCCGTGCCAGGTATAGTTCAGTTCCTGATAAATAGGAGAATCTTGTTAAATATTAGCTGAGAGATATGCTTTTTGATTCTCTATACGTCAAAATCTCCATCTGTCCTCCCTCCTCTTGTTTGTCCTCATTTTCTTCCCTTCCATTTCCTTCCAGACCAATTCA